GAGAAATAATGTTTTATAATTCACTTTCTTAACCTTTAATTACTGAGGTATAAACAAGGCCTAAGTCAATTAATCTATAATAATGCTCTTTCCGTTCCAAAAAAAATAGTCCACTTTTTATTTTCACACAGATTAAGAAAGTAGCAATTATTATGGTTAAATGACAATTTTATCCATATAACTTTTCAATTATGCACATCTCAATAACACATGAGTAGTTATTATATTAAAATAATAAGTAACAATTAATGATGGTTATTGAAAACAAGATAAAATTTAATAAGGGTATAATAGATAATTTAAGAATTAACTATAATGCCAAAAAAAAAAAAAAAATGAACTATATTTTAGAATAAATCAAAATTGAAAGATAAATTATATTTTTAGATTGGAGGGAGTATAAGACATTGCAATCGTTGCATGAAGCGAGACAATAGCAATAACACATTGAAAGGCTGGGGAACTTTTTTTTTTGTATGAATCGAATACGCCTTGAATCTGTTTATTTTTCAATTCTTATATGTTTTTTTATTTTATTATTATTTTATATTTATTTTAATAATCATTTAATAAAGTTCAAATTGTTCAAGTATACTTATCACTTAAATTATAAAAATATCTTCAACTATGCGACTTATTACAAAATCACTCTAAAAGGACATTTGTATCTTGAATAACCTCATTTGGATACTTAGATATATTGGCAACTTAGTTTAAAAATCAGATTATAAAAAGAATTAAAATGATATTTAACATGGAACCCACTATTTTACCTTGGGTTAACTTAATCCAAAAAAGTTAAAACTCACCGATTAAATAAAACTCCCTTAATCCAAATAGATTAACATTTATTTCTCCTTTCTTTATCTCAGGTTGCGACTTTGCCCAAATTTTTTCACTTGCTATTCTCATACTTTCTACTTCGTTTTCGCTTCACTCTACTACCTTTAGTTTGCTCCTTATATCTTGTAATTGTTTGTGATTCTTGTTTAGACTAGAAATTTCAGTGAAGCGAAACCGCACCCAAAATAAAAACTCACCCAAAGGATTAAAAAAACAAATATCAAACATTTGAAAAATGGTTAAAACATGAGAAGTAAAACGAAATTATGAAAAACAATACTAGGTGTCATCTTTGATAATGAAATGATGAAAGCCCATCTGATACTCCATTTCCTAAGAATTGACTACAGTGGCATCCGTTCCATACATTTATTGATGACTAATCCAAAGTGCTCTTTCTCTAAGTGAAACTGTTAACTCTGTAATGCATCTCAGAGAACTATAAGCATGATCTAAATACACTTTCTTGTAAAATGAATTTCAAAATGGTGGTATAAATCACCTAATTTGAAACTTACATGTATTGTTTTTAATACTCTGTTTAGTGTTTACACGTTTCTATAAGATTCTTTATGCCAGAGCAATGAATAATCTCAAGCATTTATTCAGCAAGGAAAGGGAAGAATACTACATCTAATTGATCTAGATAATTCATAATTTTATTAATCTATTTGGTTTAACGGAATTCTATTTAAATGATAAGTTTTGACCTTATTGGGTTAAGCTAACTCAAAGTAAAGCAGTGAGTTCCACATTAAATATTATTTTAATCTTTTTTTTATAGTTTGACTTTTAAATTAGGGTACTAATATATCTAAGTTTCTAAATAAAGGTATCCCAAGTATAAAAGTCGTTTTAGGATGATTTTGCAATAAGTCGCATAATTAGAGGTATTTTTATAGTTTAAACCTATACTTATATGTTTCAAGTTTGAGACCTCTTAATCATATTATCACTAATTTGATGAGTCATGGAAATGCTACTCCTATTGTTTACCCCCGATATGATTTTGGTCCATTGAACATCTAATAAATAAATAAATAAAATTCGTCATGTATGCTTCCATAGCAATTATCGTATTCTAAACACTTACTTTCACATCACCATGCAGCCCGATTGGGCCAATGGGCCTTTGGCTGGAATTTCATTAATATGAAAACCTTTTTTTTAGCATGGAATTTTGAGAATAGCAATTTATTAAAAAAAATTAATCTCTGTCCCAAATACTTATTACATTTGAAAAAAATACCTCAAATACTTATCACATTTTAAAAAGTACTATATTCCCACAACATGTACTTGTCACACATTTGTGAATTTCATAAATAATAAATTAATTTTCCCAATTTTCACCTTTGTAATGAAACAATAAATTATGTTTTTAATTTTTACCTTTTGTATATAATTTATTATAACTTAAATAAATTACGGATAATATAATTAATTCACTCAATAATTTATTGTAACTTATTGAAAACTCAAATGCGACAATTATTTAAAAACTGAGAAAATAAGTTCAATAATATCATTGTCACCTGAACGTGAGTTTCCATAATAGTTACTAAAAATAAGTTTATAATAATTGTCTGTTGAAAGTTTATAACTGAAAAAATTGGATTATCAGTATCTCAGAGGTTAAACTCTAGGCTTAAGCAATGCATTTGCCTCGTGCAACTGTTAGGAATTCAAAACCTTTTAGATTGAAAGTTAATTGCCTAGAAAGAGATTTGAAGAGTAACAATTTTTACCAGAAAATTTGAGAGATACAACACCTTATTAAGAAGAGTTATCCACCATTTCACATAATCATGCAAAGATCATCACTAAAACTATTAGATAAATAAATTCAATACCTACAAAATATATTACAAAAATAATATAATTCTATTAAAGCTTACAAAATTGAGGTTCAAATTGTTTTGAATTGTTACAATTACTGTACAGGGGAATGGTAAACTCTGTGATCTCACTGTAAGCCATTGAAGGGTGGATAGAAAGTTTGAAGAGATTTTGTTCACAGGTCATCATATCTCTGCAGTTGGTGAATACACATTGAGATGCTTTAACAATGATAAGTGGTGTGTGAAACATTCAAAGCTGACCCGCTCGAATGTCTCTATCCAGACGATCCGCATTGAGGGTCCCAGGTAGCTCCCTAAAGTCTTCATTGAAGATAGAATATGCACTGCATCATCAGAAAACAATAATGTAAGCTAGGAAATCCGACAGCTAATTTTAGTTAGCCAACACGCCTTCATTCAAATGCTGCATAGCATTTCCATTTATATTGCAAATATCAGAAGAAGATATAGAAGATGATACACTGACAGACAAGCAGGAAAGCAAGAAAACCACTGGATGATAGAACGTTAATTAAGGACAGACACTGTAAGACTAAGAAGAGTAATCGGGAATGAAAAGATTGAAAGAAAACTATTGTATGAAACAATCGAGTTCGAAGTTTACGGATGAACAAGGCATTTTTGGGTACCCTACCCTACATGATCCGATTAATACATGGCTTGTGTAATAAATAGGTTTGAAATGGTGTAAGTTCAAAAATGATTGTCCATTTCAATTTGGGTAGGATATGGGTTTAATACTTCTGCACCTGCTACTTGAATCTATTTATATGAATAAATAAGGCGGTGATATTCCCAGAGTTGCTTTAGTTAGTGCCAGAGCTAAAAATTTTATTTGGACAAAATTGTCATTCTTCAAATTGCACTTTAATTCTTTCTGTGTTCTCACCGTGTATCAAAAAGAAGCTTTTGCTCTAAGCCTCAAAAAGCCAAAGAAGTTCTGACCATTTTACTAACTTTTAAAGGAAGAAGAAAAGCCTTTCAAAAATTTTCAACATTTACTTCAATACTGAAATAAGTTTTGGAATGGATGAACCAATGCAAAATTTTCAAGAAAAAATTCTGTTAATATTTCCAAAAAACCAGTTCTAATAAATATAGAAAAACTGTACCTATGCAAGTAGTAATTTTATTGATTTGCAAGTTCATGTTTTGGGAGAAACTAAAGGAACAATATTTTCACAAATTGTGCAATTTTCAAAGAAAACAACTTGGATTTTATTCATAAATGTTAGATTCTAAACTTGTGTCTACAACAACAATACTTTTGAAATATGCCTAATGATAGACAACCCATAAATAAACAATGGTGTTTTGATCTTATTCTTAATTTCAGGGTGTCTTCAATAGAAAGAAAAGGGAAAAAAAAAATGTCTAGTCTGTCCAATTCCTTAACTAATGAGGCCACCGACCAATTTTTACAAGCAAATAATTGACTTCATAAGGCTATAGCTTAGTTTCCTTTGTTGATGAACAAGAAAAAAAGGTATATATATATGTTGGCTTCCTTTGCCTATGAATGAACTAGAGGACCTTGATCTGGAATAGGGAACTAAAGAAGAAGGGCAATGTTGTCTAATTAAAGGTTTTGGCTCTGGCATTAACAAAAGTAGCTCTAGAACTATTACTACCTATAAATAAATATGAAATCAATAATTATCATTATTACCTAAATTGTATAATATTTATTAAACAAAATATAAATTTAGATATTTATAGGATTATTAATTTTACAACAAATATAAATTATTAATTTTATCAAAGGAAAATTTTTTAGTAAATTACTAGTTAAATATATTAAAAACTATCAAATTTGGGCAGGCTCAGTACCCGGGTAGTATTAAATGGGTTTTGGGGACAGGTATGAGTAGCAAGGCGAATTTTAAATCAATGTTAGATGGATATAGGTAGCGAATTATGAAACAGGTTCACATGTAATGGCATTTTTCACAGGTACCTGATGTTAAGGGTGAGAAAAACTACTAACCGAACCGAACCGACCCATTTCAATTCGGTTCGGTCAATCGTCCAAGAGAGGTTCGGTTAATCGGTTCGATTCGGTTACACAAATTTGTCGGTTAGGCTTAAAACCAAACTGAACCCAACCGACCGTTTGCTCAACCCTACCCGATGTACGTCTCCACATTTCAGTAGTGATCACTATCCTGTTTCAGTGCTCCTCAACTTCCAAAAAGAAAAACAATTATGAAATTAGTGTATATACCTGAGATCACCAGCTTGCCTCCGTCCAAGATTAAAGAAGATGATGGAAAAACCCGTGCCAAGTATCTGGAGAAGTGAAAATACATTGTAACAAGAAATCAAGATGGAAGAAATAGTAATTAAAAATGAATAAAAGAAATTTTTATCACACAGAAAATACAAGTAATATGGTTAGAGTATATCATGCAACATTGCGCGCATTATAGTCCCCTCAGTATGATCCCTGTATTTTTTTCCATTGCAATTTCTCATATTTTTCAATAGAACCCAAAACTGGATTGGCAAAAAAAATTTAGTCGTTAAGCCTGATTATTGAAAATTGTATGAGGTTGGGATTAACAAAGCCAAGTAACTAGAGCTATATCTTACTTGAGCATTGATCAAAACAATTTTAGAGTTTGAAGCCAAGCATGATTTTAAAGCACCCTCCAGGAAATATCATTGTTACTTCAATCATTTTAAATTAGTGGCAGCAAAACAGTAAGAAATAGGGGTTAATTTCACTGGAATGACCTAAATTATAGGGGTAATCACTTAATGGGTACCAACTTCAATTTGTTACTTAAAAATACCTAATCTTATGTTTTTATAATAGTAAAATGCCTTTTGATGTAATTGAGATTTTCTGTTGGCTGAAATGCCACGTAATTAACACTGCTTTTTTTAAAATGAAAATTCTTTTCTAATTTTTCTCTCTCTTCCAACTTAGACTTCTCCTTCATTCTCTTTCTCTCACGCTCTCTCTCTTTTTCTTTTGCTTTATGAACCCTAAATCGATTTCTCCTTCTCTTTCATCTCAACAAACAGATTGTACAAGAGAATTAATAATTATTTGACTACTATTGAAGAACCTATTCTAAAGCTTAAACATCTGATCGACTTCTCCTTCTCTTTTCCTAATCTTCTATTTTTGTCTTGTACTCTTTTAATTTCCATATCAAAATCAATTTCTAATCATGGAAACCATATTAGTCGATCTTCATGGGATTCGAATCCTGGAAAAATCAATCTTCATTAGATTTCCATATCAAAATCAATCTACATCAAATTTGGGCATTAATCAAGCAGCAGTTGAAGCAGAATGGGAAGAAAATAAATTGCATAAAAAAAATGAAAAGAGAGATAAAAAAAGGTAAGAGAGAGAGAGAGAGAGAGAGAGAGAACGAAAAAGGAAATATCTTCACTGGGATCTGAGCATTAATCCGGCAGCAGCTGAAACGGGAAAGAAAGAAAAGAAATAGGGGAAAAAAAAGAAAAGGGAGATAAGAAAAGGAAAGCGAGAGAAAAAATGAAAAGGAAAGATAAAGCAGATGATTCTGATCTTAGATTGCCAAAAGAAAAATGCAGAAATAAGAGATTTAATGTACAAAAGAAAATGCAATAGTGTTTGTTTAGTGGGGATTGAAAAGAAAATAAGAGAAATAGAAAGGAAGAAAGAGGAAAAAAAAAAGAGGAGTTGCAGAACATGAGAGAGAGGGTAATGGATGCGGGTGAGTTGGAAGAGAGAGAAAAATTAGAAAAAAAAATTTCATTTAAACAGAGCCAGGTGTTAATTACATGGCATTCCGACCAACGGAAAATTGCAATTGCGTTAAAAGGCATTTTACTGTTACAAAAATATAAAATTGGATATTTTAAAGTGACAAATTGAAGTTGGTACCCCACTAAATGATTACCCCTATACTTCAGGTACTTCCAATGAAAATAACCAATTTCTCATATTTTTCAATAGAACCCAAAACTGGATTGGCAAAAAAATTTAGTAGTTAGCCTGATTGAAAATTGTATGAGGTTGGGATTAACAAAGCCAAGTAACTAGAGCTAGATCTTACTCGAGCATTGATCAAAACAATTTTAGAGTTTGAAGCCAAGCGTGATTTTAAAGCACCCTCCATGAAATAGCATTGTTACTTCAATCATTTTAAATTAGTGGCAGCAAAACAGTAAGATATTCTGTGGAACACGAACATGTTGGGTTTGTATGGTATAGCTACAGTTTTCTGCCTATTTTCTGAAATAAAGATGTGTTTGCTACAATGACCTCTTTTCAATTCCTAAACAAAGTAATTACTAAACAAATAAAACTGATATGATGTATTCATAAACAATGGGCACAGAGACAAGCAACTTACATATAAAGGTCCAAGATCCCATCTATGTGCAACAGGTGCCAAAATGAACCATAGAATAATCAGGATCCACACCTTGAGACTGAGAGAAAAAAGTGCCATCAAAAGGATACCTACCATTGAAATAGGAAACAAAAATGATCAGCAGATTGTTACTTAAATATGTAAAAGCTATTTCACCAGATGATTACCTGGAAGCTTCAATTTATCATGCAGAAAAAAGTATAACCTTCTCTTCCATCGACTTGTTGATTGTGGCAACTGAAACTTCTGCAGACTCAAAAACTAATTTGAGTACAATTCATATAATCTAAGTATCTTAAACCATTAAGCATTACTTATTCAGTTATACCAAGTCATCATCATCATCAAATCCATCGCGAAGATGTTTAGCTGGTGGATTTGGTTTGACAGCAACAATTAGCGAATCTAGAAAGCAAACAGAGAACATAAATCAGAAGATAAATGACAGGCAAAGTTATAAAATTTTGCAGAAGCTAATATAATACTTACTGAATGTTAATCAGAAAAAATAACATGTTGTGCTAGTCCATTACCTATTCTTTGTAATGTAGCACCGAGCAATACAAATATTGATATTAAAAATAAAGCATGAATATGATAATCGGAATTTTTTAATTAATTTTATTTCGGCAGTCACATAAAGGACTTCAATAAACTAGATCTTGCTTGTCCAAATCTACAACTCTTTGTATTTGTTTGAATCAGAATAGCCGAATAATTTACACTTTTTCTTTTGTTGGGTAGAAATAGTTTCCTATGAAGCAAAGTTAGCATCTAAAATTTTACCACAATTTCCAAAAGATAAAATAATGAACCTTATGATTAATAAACATTTTAAAATGAACTAAAAGACAATACAAAGAAAACAATATTATTTAATAAAAGACAGGTTAGTTTAAGGGTGCTTCAGGGTTCCCTGGTTAAGAGTAGTAGTTGTTATGCATACCACATGATAGCAGCATGACATGAAGAATGAACAGCAGGGAGACCAAAAGAGCAGCCAAGTCAAGCAGCAGTGTTGAAAATAACATCAGGCCCTATATTATGGCAAATCTAGACTAATAAAACTATCAAAAATGCAGAAAAGCTAATAAATAATTCCACAGCTTCTCAAAAGAGACTGTATGTGACATAGCCAAAACTGACACCTGTCAACCACTGGCACTCCTTAAATACTCTGCCAATGCATTACATGAGTATCCAAATATGCACGACAATAGTATTTTATCCACGTTCCAGCTATCCATAATGTAAATATACAACATACCATGGTAAAAAATTAAATTGAATTAATGATGCCATGTCCTAAAAATGAAAAATCCTAAGGAATACATGAGTGCATTTACAGCATGAATAAGAGAAACCAAATGAAATAGCGTGTATTTCTTTTAGCTTTATTTATTTACTATAGTTCATATTCACAATGAATGAGAACAAACAAATGAAAAATTTTGCACCTTAATAGATAGCTTGTCTTGTCATTTTTGAATTGAATGAATGCTTAAATATTTGAGGATGAGCTACACATGCAAAAATGTATATCAAATAGATGTATCCTACCCATGGCCATAGTACAAGTTTTTTTAAGATTTGCCACATCAATATTTACTTTTTATCATAGAGTATCCATGTCTTGTATTGGCACCTCCTAGTCAACTTTGGAAGGAAAAGATAGGATAGGTCAGTGACATTTCAATCTTGACAAATCTAGCTGTCTAATAAAAACCTTTAAGACACCAGAGTAGGAAAGTAAGACACTAATATTGTGATAGAAATGAGCCCAGGCCCTTTAAGGGTTACTCAAGAAGGCCAAAGACTGCTGCTAATTTGGTGAGTGATCCAAGAAAACAGGGGAATAATTGAAGGAATGAGAATGTAACACCTGTCACAATCAGTTATGATGAGGGTATCACGCCAGTACAAGAAAGCAAGTGAGGAGAAGGCTGAGGATCTTTTTTTGGAAATCGTTTTGGACAAATTATTCTGTTGGAGAGCTGTAGCTCTTGGCTTGGTGTCTTTGGAATCAAGATTTGTAACGCCCCATTTTTTTTTTCCTATGTTTCAATAGTAGTTTACAGGTCTGTGAATAGTACCACCGGTCCGGAAGTTGGTATTATTTTTGGTCCGGAAAAATTACTATTTATGTTTTATATTTTATTTAACACAAGAAAGCATAGTGAGGAAATGGCTGAGGATCTTTTTTTGGGAAATCGGTTTTGGACAAATTATTAATTCTGTTGGAGAGCTGTAGCTCTTGGCTTGTGTGTCTTTGGAATCAAGAATTTGTAACGCCCCATTTTTTTTTTCCTATGTTTCAATAGTAGTTTACAGGTCTGTCGAAATAGTACCACGGTCCGGAAGTTGGTAATTATTTTTGGTCCCGGAAAAATTACTATTTAATGTTTAATATTTTAACATTTTTGGAGCATATATGCATGGTTTTTATGGGTAGAAAGTAAGTAATGAATATTTTTGGAGAATTTAGATAATTAGCGAATAGTGAATTATGGTATTATATTAAGTAAGGAAATTTGAGCAATTATTTTTTATGGAGGAACATTAGAGAGTTTTGTGGAGATAAATAATATTTTGAAGGAATTTAATTGGAGAATATTTGGAGAAAACACCAAAACACCCTCCAATTTGGAGAAAAGACCAAAATACCCCTAGTTGCTTTATTAAAAGCAACTATCAATTATTGAGCAACACTTTGTCCTTCTTCTCCTTTTCCTACACGTCTCCTTCTCCTCCTCCTCGTTCTTCTTCTTCTTCTTCTTCATTTTCTTCAATTCTTACTAAGTAAACACATCAAATTCACCCATCCAACTTGATTTAAGTACTAAATCTTAGATACTAAATCTAGAGAAGTGAAGCTAGAAGAAGTCATTTTGGTGACTAATTTCCAAGGAAATTTTGGTGATTTTCCACCTAACTTGGTCAACGTAAAATGTGATTGTTATGATAGATCTCATTAATTTTTGGGGTTTAAAGAGTTGTCTTTTAAGCATATACATGCTTAATCATAGTAGCTCCAATTACTTCTTTTATTTGTTTTCTTGTTTGATTTTGAGTTTCTTTACATGTAGAGGGTGGGAACCTTCTAACAAAGTTAAAGGGTCAGAGACCCAAAAGCTTGAGAAGCTTTTGATTAAAGCTTGTTAAAGCTTGTTTTGAAGGTTAGTGTTCTCATAGAGCACACTTACATTACTCAAAATTTTTGATTGGTGCCTTTATGCTATTATGTATATATTTTGAGATTTTGTATGAATGATATGATTTGTTGAATTTTGATTGCCATTTAACCAAAAATTTGCTCTTGGATGATGTTTGATGAGTATTTATTGTTGGTAGACCATTTCTAAAACCTTGTTCTTTGGGGGTTCATGTTCCTTTTCATGGCTAAAGTTAAACTGAAATTTGGGAAAACGTGAATTTTGAGTGAGAATTTAAGGAAACCATTTTTTCAATCCTTTCTAGATTTCCATCTATCTCTGAGTCCTTTCATAAAAGTTGTAGGTCTAGTCTCTTAGCTTTCCAACCGCATCCTCGTTTGGTGTTCCAAATTTGGAGATAATATAACTCAACTTATGGCTGAAACACCACAAACTGACTCTGTTTGTGTCGGGCCCAGCATGCATCATTGAATTCAGTGCCCATTTTGAACGCACTATAAGTTGAAAGATTAGTTCCTGAGTTCTTCAATAAAAGTTGTTGCCTCGCTGTGTCTTGGAGAATTCTCTCGTTCTGGATGGTTAATTTGAAGTGTGGGGTTTAGTAGGAATTCAATAAACAATGTGACTTGGTTCTGCTGAATCAGGTCTGGTCTGTTAGTTTGTGTTCCTAGCTTTGTTTTGTTACTTCCATATTGAATCTGGGCTGGTGATCCTTATAACATTTGTAGAATTTTGTCTAGCTTCTAATGACTCTGATTTCATTTAATTTGGAGAACCCATAACTCAAGTTATGTTTTTAAAAAACACAGGCAAGGGTCAAGTGGTTATTTTTATGCTGGAATTTTTCTATTTTAAAGTCATGTTTGTTTAAGTATGAGAATTTTTATGAATTACTTAAGTTTAAAATTAACGTTTTTTATTATGAGAAGACTAAAGAAAATGAATTTTAATGAGAAATGTGTTCTTGAGCTCTAAATATACTTGGTGTGGTTTGATGCATGATTTGATTTTATTATGTATGATGAGCATGCTCGGGTCATTTGATGGCATTATGATAAGGAAGCTATGATCATATGCTAGGCACGTAGGTGTCTTATGTTAGGGGGCGGACGCGCTCTATATGTTATATGTTATGAAAAGGTTGGCGACCTAAGGCCATTATGAATAAGCTATGAAAACTTATCTGCTTCTTTTTCTCCTAAGTGTATGTGAGCCCTTATAAACGATTTTTAAGAAAGTGCAATAAATGAGATCACTTTATGTTAATAACTCGTAGTTTACCATACCTTATTTATGACATCAAATGAATTTCTAAAGCATGATGTGTTGGTGTACATATGTACCGCATGTTCAAATTTAATGATTTTATGTATATAAGTGATTTTTTTAAGTATGTTGTCATCACAACATTGGTTTGTTGTGTTTTATGAGCACCACGTTTGGTTGGTGTTTTTATGAGCCTCACTGAGGTTTTTATACTCAGCGCGTTGATTTTATCACGCGCAGGTTGGAGATTGTGCTTGCTGCTTAAACACCTGAAGAGTAGCATCAGAGCTGAAGAAATCTTTTGGTAGTTGATTAGTATTTTATGTAACTAAAAATTTTGGCATGTATAACGATTACATTTTTGGAGACTGTATTATTTAATTTATACCTTAAACATGTTATTGTAAATTATTTTGGTGTATATATATTGGGAGATAAACTTGGACTTATTTAATGGTCAGAACATTAGAAGTTGATATATTTAAATGAATGTATTTAAGTGATGAATATTATAATGTTATTGAGGAACTATGGAGTTATGAAATTATAGAAGTGCTAGGAACTATGGGGAGTTAATGAAATAAATAGAAGTGGCTATTGTGTTTTGTTTATTGGAGTTTGATGGGTTTTGGAGTTTGAATTTGGGAGTGCTTTTTGTAATCATATGTTTGGCAAACTTTCTATGTTTAGGGGAAACTCTTCTTGCAGTTTTTCTGTAGGAATCCTCCCAATCTTTTCAAAACAAAAATACTATTACTTGCTAAACTTGTGAATACTAAGTCACTTCTAGATTCAATGAAAATATGATTGTTTGATTTATTATGCTAGGTTAGGACCAGTGCCTCCGGCACCAAAATGTGGCAGTCGCAACCGTTGGGGTTCTTTCGGGGATCGGGTTGGGTCTTTCGGGATCGGGCGGCGGGTGTTACAAGATTTCTGTTATCTCTTGTATTTCTTTTCTCCACTTAGACTACTGAGATTATTGTATTGACAATCCATTGTTATTGATTCAGTCCTATCAATCTAATACAATTTCTCTCTTCTTTCTTCACATTCTCTTCCATTTTCTTGTTCTATTTCAGCCATTTAATTTACAGATATTGGAACTGTTCTTTACTCTATCATATTGTCAAGAATCACAAAAGGCTATAAAATTCTTAATTCACCTATGTTAAGAGAACCTTAGGGAAAGCATCCTTTTAATGCAGCAGTGCAACATCACCCTAGCAAATGGCGGAGTGAGGTCTCTTAAGATGCTGGATATTAGTTCCCTATCATTGGCAAAAATCCAAACTTATTAGAATTCCTATTACTTGGTTTCTTTGAATGCTATATATAATATATAGCCGTAGGCACCTCAATTGTGGGTTTATTTTGTTCTCCAAATTCTCCCTCTTTTAAAATAATCTTCTCCTTCTTGGAATGCTGTTTAATTACATGCGCCAGTGCACCATTCACTCTGCTGCCAGATAAAAGATCTAAAACTATGTAAAAGCCAGGCATGAAAAGCTAAGAAGGCTACCAAACTCGACTGTTAAGAAAATGAAACCTGATGCTCTAACAACTACCCATTTTTGTGAACTTAAGACTATTAAAATTCATCTAAATAAGTACTTGATTTCTTCGAGTGTTAATATATGGGCGCCTCAAATGTAGATTTATTTCGTGTTTAAAAATCTTCTCTTTTAATATAATATTCTCTTTCTTGACATGCTGTTTAATTATACTAAGCTAAGCTAACAGCCAGGCATGAAAAGCTAAGAAACAATCAAACTCAACTGTTAAGAAAATGAAACCTGATGCTGCAGCATCTACTCATTTTTCTGAACTCGAGATTATCAAAATTCACCTAAATCAATAGTACAAAAACAAATATATGTGGACCAACTACATACTATCATGTAATTCAATTAGATTACAAAATGAAGATGCAAGTGAACTTAAGAATTACGATCGAAAATAGACATGCTTTCATAATATCCTTATGGACAATTTGGTTATTCCTGGACCTCTTTTTTGTTTATATCACGTGACTTCAACTGAAGAACACATAACATCAACATAATTAGGAATTTTTAATGAACTCAAAACTTCTATAAAAATTTTAAATTTTACAATATTTCTGTAATTCTCTTGATTTTCCTAAATCTGAAGAAAAGGAACACAAAGCCTAACACTCCAACATCAATTCTGCTAGGAGCATGAATTCTAAGATATTATGATTCTCCTTCTGCAGACAATTCATATAGGAATAGGATAACAATTCAACAAAAAAAAAAAAAAAAAAAAAAAAAACAATTCAACAAAAAAAAAAAAAAAAAAAAAAAAAGAAACTAATGTTATCAAAAGATGCATACCACTGTTCTTGAGTTGAATTTGTATATCATCTTCATCTCTGCTATCATGTAATACCTTTCCACGCAAGATTAGCCTCAATTTCTCAATTGGTAAATGATTATTTTCAGAAATCAACTTTCTCAAATCATGCACCTATTATGATCGAAAGACAAAAATGCTTTAGAGATTCATAAAGAGAAGCATTTTGAATATCTTTAGTGAACTTCATAGGAAAAACTCAAATGTGGCCCATATAAATATTATAAATTAAATATGGTAAGAATATAATATTTTTAAGGATTTTAATTTTATTAGTTCCAAAAATAAAATTAATTTGATTTTGATTGGTTATATTATATTATATAAGGTACATATTAAATATAATAAGAATGTAGTATGTTTAATTATTATTTTTAATAAATTCTTAATTGAATTGGTTATTATTATCAATGTTTTCTATAAATAAATTATTCTATAAAAATAAATAAAAGATATTTTAAATTTGATAAGAATAGAAAAATACAATTTGATTATTATTAATATTTAATTTGAAAAACTAATTTAAAAAAAAAAGAAATTTTAAACTATGAGAGTTTGCTATAATTATAAAGTTTAAACATTAAAAAGAAAAACATTAATTAAAAAGAAACAATAAAAAATAATAAAATGAAAAATATCATATATGGTTTGAGCTTTAATATATAATTAATAATTATAAAATCTAATATGAAATTTTTATGAAGAATCTTGTGTAAAATTCCAATTTAGAACATAAAATAAAGGTGCAAGAAGCACATGTTAAGGAATTAAATAAATGAAGGACATCTACAATGGTCTAATCATGTTATACATAGATTTTTAGGTGCTTTAATTTGTAAATATAATATGTTAATGATTGAAATTGTTAAACGAGGAAGAGATAAACCTGTAAGTATATGGAGAGAAATTATTTTGAAAGATTCGCTGTATTTGGATATTAATAAGAAATATATTACTATGATAGAGTAAAATAGAAATAAATAATTCACATAGCGGATTTCGATTGTTAAAACAAAATTTTAATAATAAAATTTTGATATTTTGATCAATCCTGTTTAATTTCTCTAGATAAAAAAAATGTACCACTAAAAAAATTTCTTAACTTTGGACAACCCTATTTAAAATTTTATAATGGCAACTTATTTATTTCATATCTTATAAGCATAAATGGTACATTTATATATGGTAATATGGAAGACAGCTCGACCTTTTCTATATTCCTTATAAAGATTTATGATATTTTTATAATCCTTTGTAATTAAAAATATTTTACATTGGTGCGTGAGTATGATAAAAGGATAATAATTATTTTTTCGTAATTTATATCATTTTATTACAATATTCTAAGAATTGGACTGGCCATTGAACTTGTGAAGACATGGAGCTTATTGAACGGAAAAGTTTAACCGAATTCAATACGGCTCAATCGAATTTTTATATATAATATATTTAAATATATATTTTTAAATTCAATAAATTAAAATATAAAAATTTCAAATACGAAATAATTTTTATAGAAAATAGAAAGATAAAAAAATTATTTTAATTTTTTTATCTTTCTAATTAACTTAGTATAGCTCAACATATATAAATATAAAAGTCCCAATTTAATAAAAGTTTAACTAATTATAAAAAAGTTTAACTAATTATAATAATAATAAAAATAAAAATTAAATTTACTTTAAAAAATATAATTATAAAATAAAATAACAATACTTAAAAACAAAAGCGATATGGCAGGTTTAATATATGATTGTCACGACCCAAAATCGTTGGCATGGCTGGCACTAGGGCCAGGTAAACTTAAGGCTTCGAGACCCGTAGTAAGCCTAACTCACGTTAATCCATTTTTTTAAAGCCGATTCCAAAAACAATAAGCTCATTATGTGACATTATTAAATCATACTGTCAAATCATATCTCTGGCCCAGCTTCCATTTTTCAAATAATTCATAACTTGAGCTTATATTTCGTATATCATTCACATCATCCATAATATGGGCAAATTGAGTCAATCGTACTTTTAGAAAATCAATTAGAAAATTTCACAGGTTTATTGAACAACATATTGATAATTCTTACATGGGAAATTATAATACATGACTCTCTATCTACGGAGCTCAGTATAAAGATGAATACATTCTTATACACAATACTGTATACTCAAATATTATTAAACTAGAAATTTCTACTTTAACTTTGCGAAAAAAGAAGCAGAGCTTATCTGAACTAATACAGTGTCTACCTCCTGGAAGAAATTTAAGGAATGGTGGGTTAGTTTCACCAATTCGGTGAATAATAATAAATAATACATAACTCAAACAGTCATGCAAAATGCTTTTTCAACTTATATAGTGAGCATTCGTTCAACCAAGCGCATACACATCATTAACAACTATAACTGATATCACTTTCAAACAATCACATCAAATAGAGATTGGTCAGTGGCATTATTATTTTCTCATTTCACAAGTAATCTAATAATCATATTTCAAGATAGAGCAGTCCATCCCTCTATCAGGGTACAAGGAGTCCATCCCCCATATAGATCGAGGAGCTCATCCCCCAAATATAAGTCGAGGTGTCGATCTCCCATACGGCCAACTAGTCTATTACTCACTTGACCAGTCCTCATATTGTTTTTCCATTCTCTCTTTCTTTTCCATTATCAATAAGAGACTACGCTATGGTTTTGCTATAACATCCATTTCATTCCAATTTTACACGTAAACAAACCTGATCTCTAAGGGAATTTTAATAAATCTGATCTCCAAGGGTCAAGTTCGTCTGCAAAGACCCTAAGTACCAATAAGAAACAACAATTGCCACCTTAGATTTAAGAGCTACTAATATTCCACAAAGGAGATTCTCTAACTTTGGAACTCCTCTCTCTAAGCTATTCGAAAAGGTGAAGTCAACGGGTCTGTTGCGACTGCTCACACCAAGACCTCATTCAGTACCTGTTTTCGTCGAAAATCCCCCCGAAGGACCCGAAAACATCCTTTTTGTGGTTTTTGATAAAATGTTTTGTTTATTTCTGATGCGGTGCCGATAAATTGGTTTTTGATAAAAATTTTTGGTTTAATTTCTGATGCGGTGCCGTAATCGGTCTTATAAACAAATTTTTGAAGTCGCCACCCATTGTTTAGGCAAATGGGACCGGCTTTTTATAAAAATGTACTTCATTTTAAACCCAATTTTGTTTTAAGGCCAAATTATTTTTAAAAGACTGGTCAATGCGCACCAATGCGATTCTTGGGTAAGGGAATTGAAGTACGTCAGCCCGTTGGAAGCCCCGACGCTCATTTTCGGGAAAAACCGGGCCTTCCATTATATCTATGATTCTAATTTATTTTAGTTTTAGAAAGCCAAATTATTTATTTATTTAAACCCAACTCAAAATAAATCGACCGAGTCCTATTTGAAAATTATTTAAAGATCGTCCCAAATCAAAATCTTAATTTATCAACATAGCAATTAATTCAAATCAAAACAAATTAAATCAAAGCAAATTAAACCAAATAAATAAAGACACGCTTGTCCTTAATGGTTTTCAAGGCGGGCAAAACAAACCAAAGAATAAATCAAATAAATAAGAGACCCGCTCTTGCTTAGGTTCAATTGCGGGTAACAAACCGGATCAAAAAATATATATATATTAAATGCAATAAACCAATAAAAAATATCATACAAATAATAAAATATGAAAATAACTAAATTCATATAACACATTATATAATCACATTTTAATATTTTAAGCTCAATTAAATTAATAATCTGTGTCATAGTTGGGCATTCTCCAGATTTATTTGAAGAAATTAAACTTTAAATTTTTTTTACAAAATTTATATTTTTTTGTTATTTATTTCTTTCTGGATAAAATTGATGAAATAGTACTGTTTCATTGATATGTTTTTCAAGGATGATATGTTTTTTTTTTTAAAATCTTTTAATTTTTCTTTTTATGGTTTTAAATCACCTAAAATTGATAATCTAATGCCAATTTTCCTCCCAAATTAACTCACAAAGAGTTTCTAGAGAGAATGTGGTTGCAGGGTATTTTTTTAGGGTTTTTAGATTGTGTAGTTGTGTGAAAGAAGTTAAGAAGTAGAGAAAGAGATGAATTTATAGAGCTAGGTTATACCGTAGCAAACAGTTACTGTAGCACACGGCTACTGTAGCACAAGGCTACTGTAGCACACGTTAGCTACTGTAGCACGCGTTAGCTACTGTAGCACGCGTCTTTTTCCTTTTTTTTAATTATTTTTCTTTATTTATTTGTTTATTATTATTATTTTTTGTTTAAATCCTTGGATTAAAAGACTTCTAAATGGCATTGACCCATTCATCTGGCCATTGAAACCCATCATCCTCGTTATCATCATCTGGAATTCAGTGCCGGGCGCAATAAAAAAAAGCGTCCAAACAGTGTTTGCCCCCCCACTAGCATTAATTGCATCTAAACGCGTAAAACTAATGTTCAAAGTGGCCTACTTGACGCGCCTTCAAATCTAGTAATCATCTTCAAAGCTCCGGTTTGGTTGGCTTTGAAGACCACCTTTTTCGAGCTCCGGTCTGATTGGCTCGAAGGATTTTTTGGGTTGAGTTTGTCATCTGGTCACCTTCTCAGCGGCAGTGCATGATCGGCTTTGTTGGCTCCCAGCCTCAATTGGGATGATCTTCCCAAACTCGGGTCTGATTGGTTTGAAGAATAACCTCCGAAGCTCGGTCCTTGATTGGGCTCGAAGGAATTTTTGCATTGATTTGATTTGATCATCTGGTTACGTCCCAAAGCTCCGGTGCTGATCGGGCTTATTAGCTCCAGTCCCGGATGGTGATTGATCTCCAAAAACTCGGTCTGGATTGCGTTTTTTGAAGATACCTCGAGGCGCGGGTCTAATTGGCGGCCTCGAAGGATTTTGGTTGAAATATCTCCAAAAGCACGGTTCTGATGCCTGTGAAGTTACCTCCGGAAGCGCGGTCTGATTGGCTCGAAGGATTTGGAATAAGAATCAAAGGCACCGGTGTTAGGTCGGGCTTTTGTTGTTCACCTCCTCAGGCTCCCAGTTGTAATCGGGCTTTAAGGATTTTGAACAAGAATCCCAAAGCACGGTG